GCATACCAGCACACCGATTCCCAAGACGTGCGTTGATTGTGCGCCGAGGATGTGGATGGAAGTAGAGGAGAAGGGGCCAACCGATGAATTGTTCAAGAGGATTGATGGTCCTTAGTTTGATGTTGGCCTCGGTTGGGGCCCGAAAGACGAAGAACTTGTTTGGCTGGATACACTTGTTGGTTTGACCGGGAGCCGACCTCAGTGACATCTGCGTCATGAGTTTCTTTGCCCCATCCACTCCAACCCTGATCTCATTTCTGACACGTAATATAACTTACAACACAATAGCTAAGGTGTTTCCCATTTTCAGCTAACGTTTCTTATGATGATGATGACGATGATGATGATGGTACAGTGTTGTTATCAAACAGCTGTCACCACTTACAGCTTGCACAGCTTATCGTTTCTTCGGTCACCTGATCCCTGAGCCGGCACCATAGGTCGTTTACTAAAGCGATGGTGTTGACATAGCCAGGGGGAGTATGCTGATGGTCCTGAGGCCTTGAGTGGCACACATCGGGAGCAGCCGGTCACCGTTTCCATTGGCAAAGCCGATATATATATATATATATATATATATATATATATATATATATATATATATATATATATATATCAATTAACGGAGTACCACGACATGTGTACTTTCAACTGAACGTTTTGCAGACTGCTGCTGTGCAAACTGTGCTGCATGAAATGTTCAACATAAGCGCAGATCGACGAGAAAACGTATCTCCGAGGCATCATCATCATTATACCCGTTAGCTAGAGGTGTAAAACATTTCAGCTACTGTGCCGCAATACATAAATAAAAGAACAAACAAATAAATACAACAGTTGTATGCCGGCTGAGCTAGCAGCAACGGATGGACATCGTTTCGGAAAGTTACCATCCGGCTGCTGCGCAATAAGGAAAATTATGTAAAATTATATTACGCCAGGATATGATATCGTGGCTGGGAGGAGAGGTTACAAGGGATGGGGACAAAGAAACACAGCAGGAACACCGCTGAGGTCAGCTCCTAGCTATGTCAGTTAGTGTATCTAGCCAAAGGTGTTCATCGCCTTTTGGACCCCAACCAGGGAACCGTGAAGGTCCAACCGAGGCCAGCTCCGAAGTTATGGCTCTATCGCAATGAGGCCAGACCTTACCGTGGTGCGATGGTTTGTGTGCCTCAGCGATCCATTGAGCTATGCTGGGTGGTGCTCCTTTTGCACCTTCAGAACCACTCACACCAGATTGGTCAATGGTTACAGGCCAGACAAACTCAACCTCCTGGTCCTCCAGGTGGGGGTTGAAATGAGGTGGCTCCTTATTCATTAAAATGGACTCTTTGTAGCCCAACGTCAAACCCGCTGCCTTGCGATCAGGTTTTGAACCAAAGGCTTTGGTTGAGAACCCTAAACGTTCTCCTGTCTAGGTCTGGACAACCTGACAGTAACCTGCCCACGCAATACAATGAATTTCTCTTCAAACAAATTTCTGATGCTCTGGCCACCGTAGAGGACAATCAACGGTGCCCTATCTGCTGCATCGAGCAGGGTGGATAGGGGTTTGGATGCTACTATCCAAGCCTTCCCATCTTCTTATTCCCCCTCTTGCGCTTTTTCACCCTTATCGTCCCGTTCCAGCTTCACATTTATTCCCCTGTTTTCAACCTCCCCAATTTTTGGCCCTCCCCACCTTGCTTTGCTAGGCTTTTACCTTCTAGTTTTAACTCACATGTGAACGCGGAGCGTCATTCCTGTCCTGTCGCCAAGCCCATGTCCAACCAAACGGCCAAGCCCAATTCATCGACTTCCATTTGGTGCCCTCGATCATCTTTCAGATTGGCATGCCTCAATGTACGCACATTGCTACAGATCGGTCAACAGGCTGCACTTGCCCGAACATTAGAGACCCTCTTGATCGATATCTGCTGCTTATCGGAGACCCGCCTGCAACACTCGAGCTCTGTGCTCACCTTACGATCCCCTTCAAGTGACACATGCAAGACTTTTTCATTGCGCCTATCCGGTGACGATGCAGCTTCGAGCGCCGGTCAAGCCGGTGTTGGTATCGCCCTGAATCCTCGGTCTGAAGCGGCTCTGGTTGACTGGATTCCAATCAGTAGGCGGTTGCGTGTGGTCCGATTGGCTGGCTCCTTCAAAGCTTCGAAGTCGCGCGGGACTAACAAGAGTCTATTCATCATCGCTGCCTCTGCACCCACAAACGGTAGCGATGATTCGGTAAAGGACGACTTCTATCACCAATTGAACGAGCTCCTTCGCCTCAGTAGGATCTCGGGCACTAGTGCTGGCAGGTGAGCTGAACGCTCAAGTTGGAAAGTTGTCCACTGATGAACTGCATCTGGGCGGCCAACATGGTGTAGGCTCCCGTAATGATAACGGTAAGCGGTTACTTCATTTGTGTGAAGATGCTCGCTTATTTTTTGCGAGCACTAATTTCCGACACAGCACTCGCCCACCAGCCTCGAACTAGCTATGGACGCAAATCGATCACGTGGCGATAAGTTACCGATGGAGAGACTGCGTCCAGAACTGTCGCTCGACTTGGAGCACAGGTGTGGACACCGACCATGCACTTGTATATGCTGACATGCGGATGCGTTTTGGCGGACGCCTAAGACGATGTTGTGAGCGCGTTGACACCAGCCAACTGGCGAAACCAGCTGTTCTGAATGCCAATCAAGGTATGCTGTTGTGCGAGTTGAGTAAGCGCTCACTGGATGCAGTTTAAGCTCACTGGTCTCATATTCACCAGACCTTACTAGCAGCAGGCAAATCCTCATGTGGTAAGTCTAATCGCCAATATGGACATTGGGTCTCTTTGCAGTCTTTGGAACTTATCGATACTCGCCGGCATATTCCGGCTGGAAGCGAACACAGTGAAGCTCGCAAAGAGCTCCGGACAAAACTTTGTGTTAGCCTGAAGAGAGACCGCGAATTCTGGTGTTTTCATCGTGCATCAGAGATGGAAGTTGTCGCTGCAGGTACAGCAGCGGCTGTGAGAGGACAGGATCTACCTTGCTCTGGCTACGAACTTCAACGCCCTCCGAAGACTGAGGATTACGCTCAAGAAGTGCCACTACGAACTAGACCGCGTCAACGGTACCAGGATGATCGCAGCCTAGCAGCCCTGCGCTCTCGACATGTCGGTACACGCCCTACTCCTACATATTAAAGTTGACGCTTTGGTTTGAAATGTACACACTTTAAAAGGAAAACAGTGTATTAACACGAATGAGACCTGTGTCATTAGAGACAATCAGTCGATGAAGGGCAGTCCGGCTGCTACATTTGCTAGGTTTTGCATCATATTGTGGACTTAATTTGTGCAGCTCTGCATTGTTACCATTCAAACGCTCAACTGAATGACCGCACTTAGCGTCTGATCAGACGTCGGGTTGGTCAGCAGAGGTCTCGCCAACGCTTCCACCCTAGGAAACCCTTTTTCTACTGTGTATAGCATGTACGAGTATGGCGCCAGGATCCTTATTAGATCGTCTGGCATTTAGATCCTGGCGTTGTCCACGATCACCCATGTACCGTTCGTGCTTTTTCTGCAGCGTATACGCACTATTGGTTATTCGACGAACATCGAGAAATTGGTACCACTGCAGATGCCACTGTTGATGATCTTTGAGAGAACGATGCCTTGCTTATTCATTGCCTTAATCAGCGTCATCATGCGGTCTCTACTTGTGCATCTCCCCTTTTTGAGCGAGCCTGCGTCCGTCGCAGATGAAGATTGAACAATTTTCTCATCTCTGAAGATGCATTTCTCTTTTTCATGCGATGCATGTACCGAGATGTCGCGAGCGTACACCTACCAAATTGCAACTTTTGTGGCACCGTTGACGCGGTCTAGTTCGTAGTGGCACTTCTTAAGCCTGATCTTCAACCTTCTGAGGGCGTTAAAGACCGCAGCTACAGGAAGGTGGATCCCGTTCTTTCACAACCGCTGTTGCACCTGCACCAAAGTGTCCTCCGAATGTCGCTGAACGATCTCTTCGATGCGCTGCAGGACACCTGGAGTCAGACTCTTCCCGTTGTTTCCTCCACAGCTGTGCTGGGCATTGGTACCTTCGTGCTTGTATTCATTGATGATGTTCTTTGACATTGGCGACTTCAGCAGTTTTCTAGGTGATTTTACGGTCGGCGAACACAGGCTTAGTAGGAATATTTTTCTGTACTATCGCCTCTTCGGAGGTGCCTTCTTTTCCTTCATCTCATTTCGGTCGTCTCGTGCAGCACTAGGCTAATAAGGCCTGGCTGGGTTTGGTGGAGTCATAATAGCCTACACTGTTTCAGTTGTCTTACGGCTGCATAGGTTCTCCCACACATCCGAACAAAACACGCGAAGACCTACAGGGAGACAGTAGAAAACTGGATCAGCCTTTGATCGAAATGAACAGCACCAATGATCAAGAGGAAGGGCTTGCACAATTACCCGTTTCATGCACTGTTTGGGTTGCATTAGCCTGGTTGCCATATGGCCTGAACATCGTCCGGTCGCCTTACTCCTCGTGGTTTGCTGACAAATTTCTTCTTTCTTGCTTAGAATGCAATATGTTCATTCTGGTTCGCAATACGTCCATTTTGTTTTGCAACACGATCAATTTGTTTTGCAAAACAATGTTTTGTGCAGAACCTTCAATTTGCTTTACAACACTTCCATTTTAAATTAAAAATCTTATAGTTAGGTACAATCTGACGATAAGAAAGTTAGAATCTTAACTTCTTACCATGGAAGTGAGGTGCCATCATATGTTCACGATTGTTTTGGAGATTTCTTTGCTTCCGCTTTCTGTTTGCATTTCTGGTGGCATTTTTCAGACACAGACATGCCCTCTTACTCTTCATCTATATTCTTTGCTTATTTTCTTGAACCAATTTTACTAACTTTGGAGTTCACAAGACACTTTTAATACACTTTTCTCTCGTTCCTACTGTGCTCTACCCTGCTAATCGTTAGAATTTCGTATCCCTTTATTTTAGCGCATTGGATTTACTCTTGCTTCTAACAAGACTTGCACGCTACAATGTTACGATTGGTCGTCTTTCTTTTTTTGTCTCCCATCTCTCCACTTGAACTTCCTAAAGGCGTACCGTTTTCGAGTAATTCTACCATTCTTCTAATTGTTTTGAGGGTCAACATTTTATCACATCGGAAGGCCGTTTACGTGTATCGACGGCTCAGCAACTATCGCTTGGCATAAAGTGAACGATGATTCATGCGATTGCTCAGATGGATCTGACGAGCCAGGAACGCCTGCTTGCGAAAATGGACTGTTTTTTTGCAGTGACGTGCAATACAAATCAGTGTCCTTATCTTCGGCTTTTGTGAATGACGGATATTGTGGTAAGCTTGTTGTCGCAGGATGCGTTTCTCACCCACATCTTTGTGTCATTTGCACCACATTTTTGCAATTTTTAAAACTATTTCTTGCGATGTTACTCCTGGTTATTGCTTTATTTCCTGATTGCCATGTTTCCTGTATATCGATGACCAAACTGGACACAAGTGGTCCATTTTATTTTCCACGCGAACTACCTTTCGCTTGTCGCTGAATATTACGGGATATGGCTTGCAACCGACACAAGTGATGTGTTTACTGACGATTTTCAGTCAGATTAACTATTTAGTGTTTGATTCCGAGTTACTCATGGGAAAGAGCTGCTTCTGGTGTGGGTCAATGAAAACCACCGCATTGAATTTGTTTTACTAATGTCATCTTATTTTCGATTGATGTCCAGCTGTTTGTGACCATGTTGTTGTTGTTCTAGTTGTTATTATTGTTGTTGTTCTTGCTGTTGAGACTGTGTGGACGCCCTCATCATGAATGTTTTACCTACGGCATTTAGACTTAACACTGGGTTCACTTCCCCCTCTTTTTCCTCATTCCCTGGACCATCATGACTCCATGACAAGGAATCGTCACTTCGAATTATTGTTGTGCTGCTGTTAGTGGTGTTTCTCATTTATGTGCTATTCTATCGAGGTAATGTACGTCATCCTACATCACTATCCCTCACTGTTTGTCCGACTGTCTGTTAAAACTTCGAATTGTCCTATGCGTGGCTCGTAGTTACTCTAAACTGACAGCCACAGCCACCTCTCAGACTATCATTGAACAGAGCCCATGGAATTCATGCCGGTTTTTTCAGCTGTGAGGCTGGGCTTCATCGTTGGTAGCACTGCTCGTATATCGTTTAGAAAACAGCAATCCTTTCACTATGTGCTAAGGTACTTTTCAATAAATTTCTTGAATGATTTTTATTGGTTTGCCTTGGCAGAGACGAGTGGGTTAGGACTTTGAATGTTGCCAAAACTAGAAGCGTGCCCACCGCTAATTGAACACACTAGACAAAAATCACCAAACTCCGACATCATTCATATCTAGTTGCAGCCTAGAGGTAACCAGCTTGTCTCGCAACCTTGTGGCGCGGGTTCGAATCCGCGTAAGGGTGGGCGTCATCGCGGTGTACTCAGCACGCGTGCGACTGGTGGTGATCGCACGGCAGCGAAGCGCCGTTACCGCGTATAGCTGATACACTGCGCAACCTCCATTGAGTGATTTTGACGCCTGCGAGCCTGTCATTCCACCTTGTTGCCAGTCGAACTTTGAGCACTCAACTCCATTAAATCAAGATTATTGTGTATCAACTGACTTCCTGCCTGCCGTAGCATTCCTTTTTTGCTGCTACTTCTGACTAGATGAATCCCCAAATTTACTAGCTAAAGTATGCAGTGATTTGTAGAGTTAAGATCTGCTTGGTGCTTACCGTCTTGCCGTTGTATCGCCGCATAATAACAGGCGTTTCTCACATCTATCCCTCATCGAGTGTGCATGAATGAGGGGTGTATCTTTTGTTTGAGCTTTCATTCTCCTCTCTCCGCTGTTTTTCACCTCTGTGACAACAGGAGGCGCCAATCGAGTCTCGGATCTCAGTTTACTGACTGCAGTGACTCCTTACCATGCAGTTCCATATTATGGGTCACTTCTCTGGATCTAAACTAGTTCACCCGCACCGCGTCTATTTTCCAGCTGTCATTTAATTTTGTTAATCAATCGATCGACTTTCCTGCTTGTTTCACTTGATGCTAATCCTCATGGTGCCATTAGGAGTTCCCATCATTTGCTGATTGCAAAGTACTTGCGTAAGCAAATGTATGACATGCTACTCTACTATAGTCTTATTATTTCGTGTTTGTTTTTTTCGACACGTTTGGGTGAGGACATGGTGCGAAATTGCACTCGGTGGCTTCAGTTGTTTACATAATCAATATTGTGCTCAACAGGAGTGTTAAAGGTGACTTATTTAAAGGGACTCGACTTAACTCACACATTTGCATTCCAGCCGCATAGTTGAAACGGTTTTTAGGCACCAGTAACAGCGGTCACAATCTTTGTTCGTATTTGACTACGCTATACTGCTGATAGAAGATGAATTATGTCCATCACTTTTGTCACGCTAATTAAAGATATGGATTTTTTTTATCATGGCTGGAGACATTCACATTTAAGTGGGTCAACTATCGTGGTCGGAACATTTCCTAGTACATCTACTACTTGACGTTCACATATGCATTTTTCCACTGCAAACTTTCGTGTCATGTTACATGGCGCTACCTTGGGCTCAAATCGACCCTATTATCTTGAGTTACAGATAGTTTATGTAAGGGCAATTTGACGATCGCCGAATTCGCGCTTACATCACCTATCCTATTTAACTTCTCACTTGACGTAGTCATGGGAACAACATTCGCTGGACACTACCTAGAAAATGTGGAGCTACTTTCTGGTGAGCGACTTCTTGACTTGGAGTATGCGGACGATATTGCTCTAATCTGTACCAGCTCCCAAACATGCTAAGTAGCACTGGACCGATTAGCACTGGCTGTCAATTGCTTTGAGCTATGCTTTGCTCCAAGATTGGCAGGTATTCGCCCTTGCCTTGACCCTTGGTGGGGATCAGCTTGAAGTCGTTCAGGAATTCAAGTACCTGGGCAGTTATATTAGCGCCTGTGGGATCGAAGATGAGGTCACGAGCCATATAGTAAAAGCTCGAGGTGCTTTTGCAAATCTCCGCCAGTTGTGGCGCAGACGCGACATTACTCTCGCCCTGAAGGGCAGAGTATATAATGCAGCCCTCTCTTCAACTCTCTTTTACGGTTGTGAAACCTAGCCCGTCAGACTGACAGATATAAAGAGGCTCGTCACGTTCGATCACCGCTGCTTTCACAGCTTAGCTCATATCTGATGGGAGCACTGTGAGCGATGAATGTGTTCGGTGTCGCGAATTTGGTGCAGGAAGAGCGAGTGAACCGTTCAGCACCATTATATCACGCACCAGGCTCCGTTGACTAGACCACGTGTTGCGCATGCCAACACGTCGACTCCCGCAACGTGCATTGTTTGCGCGTTGTGGGTGCTGTTGGAAGAGGAAGAGGGTAGGCCAAGCGATGACTTGGTCGAGAGCTATGAAGGACCTTTCTTCGAAGTTGGCCTCGGTTGGAGCCTCTCGGCTTCTTCGTTCGGGTCCTAAGGACGATGAACACGTTTAGCTAGGAGCCGAGTCCACTGGCGTTCGTGTTATGAGTTTATTTGTTCATCCTCATGCGTCTTATCCTCCCCTTCCATTCGCGATCTTATCTCTTAGCATAATACAAATTTTGCTTGATACAATTTTTTGCTGCATCGTAGCCGGCCGGTAGCTTTCCGGAACGATGCTCATCCGTTACTGGCAACTCAGCTGGCGCGCACCTGTTGTACGTTTTTTCTTATATATTGAGACCCAGTAGATGAGGTGTTTTCTATCTCTATGTAAGGTGTATAATGATGATGATAACAGAACTCAGCTGAAGTGTTATTTTGTAGTGATACCCATCACGCTATTCCCCCGTGTGTTCAACACTGGAAATACCACTGCATTAGTTTTGATCTTTTCAAAACACATCTGTATCTTAGTTTAGGTTACTCTAGGACCTTTTACACCTTCAGCAGACTTTTCGTCCATAAATCTCACGTGGCTTATGCCAGAATCATTTACTAACTTAACTTTTGTCCCCCTCCCAGATTTGCTTCTGTCTTTGTTTCATTGTACAAGTCGGTATTACGCCTATACTGATGCAGGTTTAGTTTGTCTCAGATATTACGTTGGTATCAGAAGGAACCCGAGAGCATTTCGACAAGAGCACTATGCTAATAAAAACCAGCACTTCTAGATTGCGTGAGCAACGTTGCTTTATTTTCAAGGACTTCCGGTTTGAAAGACTTTGCTGCATGATATAACTTTTAAAATTAAACGTACTATATCCTAATTGAGCGAAACCAATCGCAGCCTTTTGATCCAATCCGTTTGCATTCGTTACACGCTACTAACGATGCTCCCTGTAACATGATTCGTCCTTGTCTGGGCTATTCAGATAGAGGCATTTGTTGGAACACAGGTTCAAGACGAAGGGGTTGTCAGCTAAATCATTTTTCACTGATGTCCACGCACAGCCTTCGTAACATAGTTGGGCAATTCCTTATAAAATTTCTAGAGCACGGGCCATATACATGAATTGCAGCACGCGATCTCAATTTGGTTCGTGGTTTAATTTGTAGCGTATCCCATTTAGCTTAACCACTCGGACGGTTTATTAATCTTTGCTACGGATCGCGCCCAACACATCTTTGTCTTTGCTTGAACTTTTACTTTGACAATTAAAACTCGAGACTGCTAACTACTACAGTGTGTATTCGTTGAGATACGTCCTGGGTAATAAAAAGGATCTGGAACTACTTCGATTAGGCTCGATGTCAAAGTTGTGATTGCGTATCTCAATCTAGAAACACAGTTGGGTTCCAAAACTCAACCCCAACAGCTTGACATATATTGTATACAGAGCCCAATAGAGCAAGACGTAAGTTGGACAAGCGCAACCTTGATCCCCACTTTCTTTGCTTACCTAAAAAAGCCAAAAATGATCACGCGAGCCACCGAGCATAGCATGGAGAGCGAGAAGCAGTCTCTCCTTCGGCGGCATTCCAGTTGTTCAGAATAGCTAGGACTCACTTCAGAGACAATATCGATCCAAATTGTATATTGCAGTCCAAGCACTAAAGCGGGATGACAGATTGATTTATGACCCAACCCGGAATTGTTGGCGCATCTGATGTTCTTAGCCCCAGCTTCTATCGGAATTTTGTCACCTTTTAGTATACCGCCAGTACAACATGCTGCCACCAGTTTGCGTATCCTCATTTGTTATAGGGAACGCATTTCCCCATAAGATCACGCAAGCAAAACCACGTAAGGGTTGAACACTCGCAATCGCGCCCGTACACATGGTGCAATCAGTCTTTGCATATACAAGAATTCGTTTTTTTCCGACCAGCCTGCGCTAACACATTCGTGTTTCCTAAACGTTCCGTTTGCATTGTGTCAATTCCATTGATTACACCACATTTCTGGTCAAGTTCACACAAACTGTTCTATGTGACAAACCATATAATCCTTTCCCGTCTTTACACTCCACGATCGATGGTTTCATCCTTCAACGAATCACGGACAATGCTGATTTTCAACACAGCAAACATTCCCATTGTAATCAAATGAATCAAGACCAGAAAACAGTTCAGGGTTAAGATATCTTTTCGGTAAAATCTCGTCAGACCCAAACTTTTACATGACACGGATTATGTGGGGTAAGCGTCAAATCGGGCTGGGATTGATTTCTAAGGTGTTTGAAAGGTCAAGATCGATGAGTAAAGGTGGCTACAGATGGTAGGAAAAGTTCATCAAAGGAAATTAATGCAAGCTTCAGGGCCTAAAGTAAATAGCTAAGGTCACAAAGGGTAGTTAAGTAACCATGTCAGTCGGCCAAGGTAGTAGTATCGACCGTACGAATCGTTTGTGTACGCATAATTCCGGCTTCAGATGATGGATGTAAATAGCCTTGGCGATAGCCACCTTTAGTCATCGATCTTGACCTTTCAAACACCTTAGAAATCAATCCCAGCCCGATTTGACGCTTACCCCACATAATCCGTGTCATGTAAAAGTTTGGGTCTGACGAGATTTTACCGAAAAGATATCTTAACCCTGAACTGTTTTCTGGTCTGGTTTCATCCTTGTTTGGATTCATCTGGTGGAGATAACCTGAGAGGGATAGAGTAACGCCGAAACCTTCCAATTCGGATACCGTCCCAGTGATCGGAATGGCATTGGTTGACTTCAAAATCAATGTTGACCACAATTGGTTTTGCGTGTCGCGATCCAAGACACACGGCGCGTACTCTAAAACCCGACAATCCCTGCCAATCTTGCTATATACATGAGGCTGGTCATCGCAGTATTCGCTCTTTGTTGGGCCAGTAAAAGCGCTTGTTGCGAAGAGCCTGTATTTTTTTCTCTTTCAGGGTCGTGTAAGCATGTGTGGGATCTGCGTTCGCTTTTGTCGCTCGTCTCGGCTCCTGCGTAAAAAATGTCTAGAGACTAAGTCTCAGGTCGTGTGAATCGAATTTTGTCTTACTTTTCGGTGTGTACATACAATGCGCAAGCCGTCCGGTCGTTTCGAGTATGGGTAGCGTTGCAATTTGGGCCGTTATAACAGTATTTGACTAGCAAACTCAGCGCTCAGAGTCCGATTCTCCACCCCACTATGGGCCTGGGTTTTTCGATGATTTCCCAGTCCGGTTACAACTACTTGTGGCGAATACGTTGATAACTACTGACACCATTTTCTAACTGAGAGTTCGCAACATTCGTTTTTCATTTCTCGGTAGCAAATGGCTTCTCATACTGTCCGTTCAATGATAAGTGAAGCGAAATCACACTTAAGTCGAGTCGGTTACCATGTGCATATTATTATTTCTGCAGTAATGGTTTATGATTGTCATATCATCCTACTAACTGGTCGTAGGCCTCACTCTATTCGGGCCCAAGGAGACGATTCCGGTGCACATAGTGAATCACAATCAGCATGCAGTTATCCGACTTGCGTTTTCATTATTTATTCGAGAATTAGCTCAGAGAGGACATTTGCTGCAAATATTGTCGTTGCAGCCGACTTGAACTGTGCGTTTTCAGAACACAACAAGTCATACACTCATCTTTCAGTTTGATTCAGATGTGGTTCTACCAGTCTTTATGGCCACTAGAGATTGTGGACACATCCACAAGCTTTTTTCTCGAGGATGCATTTCTCACCGTTTAGGACTGCTCTGCTTCTACCTAACGCTTCATCTTCATTGAAGTCCAAACCCAGATTTTCGAGACTATTCCATGGGGTACACCTTACACCAACGTAATAAAGTTTATGCGATTCTGTCATTTTTATGGATTCCTAAGTTGGGCATACGCACTTTTTTCTTCGGACTGTTCGGTCACCACGAAATCACTCTAAATGTGAACTGTTCTCTTGCCCGGCATTCACTAAGTTTTGGAATTGACCGGGAGCGTTGGTTGGTGGCAAGGACGCATGAGGTGCCGTTTGGTACAGAGTGCTGTTTCAGCTCGTCTGGAACACGGGTCCTAGAAAGCCATCATTTAGTGACACAATAGCGGAGAAAATTGACAGTTGATCCATTCTCAGCCGCGTCAACTACCACGCTGTGCGGAACATTTTGCAAAACAGTTCAGCAGGTCTGCTGTGGCACTGCCACTTGCTGAATCAACTAAGCCGACTTGGGCAGTTGGTGTCAAACCTCCCACTTTGGAAGAATTCGACATGAGCTTACCGACGATCTTCCTCTAACTTTGATCAACGCTAGAAGTAACTTTGTTGACTGGGCTTGCCGCCTTTTTTACACATTTAGAACATTGTAGAAATGCCTTAAGACTGGCAACTGTCAGCTGTCGTATCCGTGTTCAACTAAGGTTAGCGTTCTTTATGCGGAAATTATATGGATATTAACCTTCTTACTGTTTCCTCCAAACTTCTCATGGGTATTCTTCGACGACTTACTGGTCCTCGTGAGAAACGTATCACTGAAAGCCAGCCTATCTTCTGCCCTGGCTCTAGTTGTATCGACAAGTGTTATAACAGACACGTTTACTGACCATGATGGTTTTCCTTAACTTAAAAGCGGCTTTCGACTCTGTTGATCGAGTTAGCTTTTGGCACTACCTATCCGTCAAGGGCTTGTCAGCTAAACTTCTTTCCATTCGGATTCTCTACCGTTACTCCTGAGGTCGGGTAATATTCCGCAGAAAGCTGTCTATTGAGTTCTATAAAACAAATGATCTTCGCCAGCGTTGTCTTATACCTCTTTTGTTCTTCCACTTTGTGATGAAATGACCATGAATGACTTCTTTCAGACTCTTCCGGAGTGGAAGTTCCGCCAGTTAACCGATTGAAAAACCTTGACTATGCGGACCACATAGCTCGTCTAGATTCCGACAGTGACTAAACAAACACTACTGCACAGATTTGTGCGAAGCACTGCACGCTTCGGCATGTGCTTTGCACCCTCAAAGTGCAAACTACTGCTGTAGGACTGGGCCGATTCACCTCAGGTTTCAGCTATTTCCGAACAGTCACTAGGAGTGGTGGACCGATTCACTTACCTTGGCAGTTGTGTCACCTCCGGTGGTCTCATCACTGAGGAAGTTGCTTCGCGTATCAGCAAGGCCCATGTGGCTTTCCGGAGGCTCAAGCATCTATGGAGATGACGGGATATCAGCCTATCAGTGAAAAGTATATAAAGGTGTATAACGCCGCGACAAGGCGGGTGTTACTGTATTGGTCAGAGATCTTGCCAGTTCGCGGCGAAGACATTAAACGCTTGGCCGTGTTTAACTATCGGTACTTGGGAAAGTTACTCCCGTTTGGTGGGATCATCGGTTTCTCAATGCTGATATCCGCTAGTTGGTTTTTGATTAGAAGCCTTTCGGTGCCTCATTTGAGTGTTTGCCACTTCTCAATCGCTTATGTTGACTAGGTCATGTCATTCGTTTGGCCGTTTACCGGCTTCCCCGGTGTGCATTGCACGTCGTGGCTGCACAGAGTTGGGAAAAATCGCGAGGTGGCCAGTCCATGACGTGGCATCAAAGCATGAAGATACTGAGAGACTTGGTCAGACTGGTCGTGCTGTCTTCATGAGTGGTAGCCTCGGGATGGTCCACACCTGTGGTTGGAGACTAGCAGACATAGTGCAGTTGCGAAGTCAGTGTCGTTCCTACATTCGGTTTCTTTTATCGAACTGTTGGTTTTCATTCCATCCTGATTGGTTTAAGGCACACCTTTCTTGGTTTCACTTTCTTTGTATTCCATTTGCTTTCGGCCTCCTTATCTTTCCGTTGTTGGTTATTGTGAATCTAGCGACGGGAGTCATCAAAAGTGCAACCACCGCACTTCTGTGGCTGGATTGCCACTATCTACGAACCCCTGCTTTTTGTTGTGTAGCCTGTATTTATGTTGTTGTATTTCTTTCTTCTGTGTTATATGACGAACATTCTGTAACTCCGGATACTTTGCTGATCGTGTTACGTACGCAGTCTTTTTAGCGTTTCTTGCCTGTTCTTTAACCGTCTCCAGTGTGGTTTTCGAGAACTCATTTTTCTGTTAATTTTCCAGGGTGATCTCAAGAGTATTTTAAAAACGACGTCCCAGGATCTTGAGAATTTTAGCTTGCATGATTAGAATTATAACTTGGAAGCCCTGACGTTCGCAGACGGGGTGTCATTGGCGCTCTTTGACGGGTTTTCTTTCTGTCTTGCGACGCAGGGTTCTGGAACATTTGTATCCGCGTTTTTCACTTTTATTCACTACTCTTCGCTGTCATGACGATATATTTCATCGCCCTGCCCCAGGTTATCATTTATAAGCTAGCCCCATTTCATTTAGTGATTTATATTTTAGTTATGCATTCTTGTTTATTGCACTGGTATTTCCCCAAATCCATTATCTTCATAGGAGTGAAAACGTATTTTATTTCTTTGCGGTTAACTATGATTTTCTGTCACTAATCTAACTTTTGTTCAAGCTGTCACATGGTACAACAAATGCAACCCGCTTACCTTCTTTGAAACTGTTTTTGCATCACTTACTAAATCTTTACTCCCTCAGATTGTTGCGACGGTAGCGATGAATACAACAGCACGGTAACCTGTGAATCGACATGCGGGTAAGTCATTAATCGATACCTGGGCGGCTGATTACCAGACTGCTGTCATACGTGGTCTTGTGGTTTTCCATATCATATTCATGCTGTGCACTGTACCTTACAAATAGACATATTAGCCTGTGCCTGTGATCTTTATCGTAGTACTACAGGGAAATCAGCAGTATGCTGGTACATCGTACCGACGCTTCGGGCGATGGCGTTAAGGTCGAGGCGTCTGCCTTTCAACTCAGTGGTCGTATGTTCCGAACTTTCTAGGCGCGTGTGATCTCTTGATATCTTCACCCCGCGCGAGGCTGCTGGTGGTTGCGCAGCAGTAAGGCGTCGGTGGTGCGTACTGCGGATTTGTTTCATGGCTATCAACAGTCGCGCGCGTGCTGCATATACGGCGAAGGCGCCCACTTGAGCCGATGGCTTGTGGATTGCATGGCAGACGGCTGGACCACTCGAGTACTTATCGGCAGCATAGTACTATGTCACCCACCTACAAATATCTTATATCGACTTTATTTTAGTATTACTTGGGTACTTTATCACCGCACCCCTTACTGAAAGACACTAGATGGATGGCGAATGAACCCGTTCGGAAGATAGGTCAGTTAGGATGGAAATCAGAAGAAATTCACCAAATGCATCTTTTGACACTTGTACGTCGAACGACCTCTTATAAGTGGCTCTGGGGGTATTCAAATAGCGCCAGAAAGAAAAGCCCAGTGAGCTGTAGAGTTAGTAACATTATATCATGGTAATAACTCGCGCAAACCCGATAATGAGGAGGATATACTAATCTGACGAAAGCGTAAGCCAACTCAAATAAAAATAGGACTAGAAGAACTTTGCTGAATTCACACCTGCCCGTCGAAAATGTCATCGGCCTGAAACAGGCGACCCAGTAAAGAGATTTGCAATTTAGAATTGCACTGTGTCTGATGGGATTTCCAATAATTTCTACAATCGATTCCGAGGCCTCCATCTGCGAAAGCACTATGCACCAATCGTAGTTAGTCAATCAATCGGCATCTCGCTATACTTTGCCACCTCATTCACTGGCCACCTCTTGGTTTTTTGTTGTTTGATTTTAAGCGACACTCCTTTGCGAGATCTGCGCTTTTGTTACAAAGCACCAGCTGATGGATATATGCATTGCCTCTGATAACGCGAAGTATCGTTATTTTGGGTTGGCGGTTGAGGTGTCAATTTACTCATCGAGTTGGACAATTTAGTTGTAGTAGACATCTGCACTGCGTCATTGGGGCTAGTTCGTTAGCAGCTACTGGACCTCACGTAAATTCCGATTTGCCAGAAGTTGCTAAGACTATTCACTATTACACACTTAAGATACCGCTTCGATTTGCGCTTAAACTACTGCATCGAAATTACCCAATTTGGCTAGCAAGTCACCACCTCGAGATGTGCATCATGCAATCAATTGTCTCACCTACACTAGAGATGCTCCGGAGGCATTGATGGCCAAAGACAGTTTGTTATCATCTTCTATCAGTTGGGGCCACGCCTCTTAGTTAAATGCAATAGTGCCTGCTCCCCTTTGACTGCTTAGTTAATATATCCTCAGCCTCACAAATTCATGAAGTTTAGGGAAAGCCACATGATTCTTAGTTATGTTCGTAGCAAACTCTCCGGTAGTTTGACCACAAGAACTGATGCTGCTACGTAAGAAGGTGAATCCTTGACTGTGGCTCCATTTTGCGATTGTACCCCCTACATTGACGGTGTGAAGCAGATACGGAGGCTTGATGTACTTTGTGTAAGTTTATACAACATCACTGTCAAGGAAGCCGCCTCGTCCGTGCACTCTAAGTTTGTTAGCTGCTCCCCCACACACTTTGCAGCCAAGCGAGAGAGTTACTCTTACTCGCTTTGATAAACATGTTGAGGCAGAAACGAAACTAAATCTGAAGATTTGCAGCTCTTTCATTTTTTAAGTTATAAGGATGGATTGAAAGCTATCGCTAGCTAAATTGGTGATTATACTTATATTTATACTACCTTTCGATCATGGGAAATCACTATGGCAGACTGTTTGAATATGCAACACTGTTCAGATACCTGTTTAATCATCAGGATGTGTTGTGAATGTGATTTAACTATGAATCCTTCTCAGTGGCTGTCTCAGTACAGTGTTGTTTTCGGTACTACTTGCATTCTCCGTTTGACGGGCAAATCTCATCTGTTAGCGTTCCTCACTATCCCCGAGAGTCCTGGAGTGACACCACGGCCACACTACAACCGGCTTCCCGACGGAATCACTACTCGCTTTGAAACCGAGTGAATCCACCTTTACTACATCCATCATCTATTCGATGGACGGATAACCTTATTTTAACTCTTATCCATTGTCCTTGGGAGCTTATTTTAATTAGCAATCAACTCCGTTCACTGCTACTGATTGACTTTCCAACTGGGATTGCTAAATTTGCTTGGCGAACTGAATTCAAGTGGCGAGTGATCGCATGAAATTGAGCGCTTCACTGACATTAAAAATAACCAGTGGGAGATGTCACACTTACGCATGCCGTACTCAGCTAGTGACTATGGGATCATCGTCAATCTTTAAACTCTCTTTCGGTCCAAATATTGGTGCAGTAGCGGGGCTGCTGATTGGAAGATTGCGATGGGCACATAGTTTTACCGTTCGATGGTTATTGCCAATCCAATTAGCATCGGTTTCGAAACAATCTATAACAAATTGTTAGATTCATAGGCAGCTTCATAAAGCCCTCATCAAGTCGGCCGGTAGCCGAAAGCCTTGCGCGTTTGCATTGTAATCCGGATGTCGGCGGTTCGAATGCGCATAGGTGCAGGCAGTCTTGCGATATACCCATCCGTCGCGCAAATTTCAGTGATCGCGTGGCGTTGAAACTCCGGTACGGTGTGCCGGTGTGTTGCTGAAGTCTTTCTTCCTTTTGTTTCATCTCATTAACGGGGATGGCACCGTTTGTATTTCTAGTCGTGCGGGGAGGGAGGGGCAACAAGTTCATCCGGTAAATTTTTTGACAGCCCCCGAGCTTAAATTTCAGAGGGTGTGCGCCGCAGCAATTGAAAAGCCACAGCATTTTCGAATAGTGCCTGTTAACTGCCATAGCGATTCGGAGTCAGAACACCTGTAAAACGGTTTGTTTTATTCATCGTAATCCCAAGTACCCACTTTTCTCTACCCAAACTTTTTACCCATGCAGTCTTTTCAGTATTGGTTGTTCACTGAAAGGTGTCGGACTATGGTTGTTTTCTTTGACTTGAAAGCCACCTTCGACTTTGTTAATCGAGAAAGCTTGTGGCGCCGCCTATGCGTGAAGGGTGTGCTAGCTTAATTAATTTCCATTCTGAAGTCCCTCTACCGTGTCTCCCGAGGCCCGTGTAACGGTCTACGGGAAACTGTCTCGTGAGATTCCCACGACAAGTGGGGTTCACCAGCCTTGTCCTATATCTCCTTGCTTTTTGACAGCTGGTCGAGGAAGCTGATTCCCAAGGCGCGCGTGTTCGTCGCCAGTCGTGCTTGGGACAGATCCTGCGAGCGTGTTGCCAAGGCCCAGCCGAATGCTGATGAAATCGCGCATCAGACAGCAGGCGTGTTGCCAAGGTCTGACCGGAATCTGATGAAATCGCGCGTCAGTCATCACGTACGTTACCATGCCCTGGGTAGGCGCATGAAGACTGGCGTGCCTGAGCAAGACGATGAACTGACCAGACGGAGCGGGCAATCAAGTGTGAAGCATGGGCGTATAGCCAAATCCGCCAGGCGATGTTTAGAGGATAGGTGAGACCGAAGTATAAATATGAGCGTTCTCGATCCTAATACAACTGATCGGCTGAGTCTTCTTCTGTCTTCCTGTCGGGTTTGCTAAGGCGTCAAGCAGCGCAGGCGTGAATCAACCGGTCGATTGCGGGTACGGCGTTATAGCAGTGCGACGCGAATTCAACCGAACCCAGAACTGTCAATCAGCTTTGAACAATTGTAGATGCTTTTGCAACAACAACAGGCGCAACTTGAAGCATCTCAGGCCAAGCTGATCGAGATGCTAACTAATAAGCTGACAGTGCAGTCAAGCCCAGGGTTATGGACAATTGATGGTGCTTCCTCACCAGAAACCCTGACTCAGCAGATAAGTGAGTTCCATTATGACGCTGATGCCGGCATAACATTTGTTTCTTGGTTCCAAAAGTATGAAGACATGTTCCGGGTTGATTTCGCCAACCTTCCAGCGGAAAAGCAGATTCGACTAATGCTGCGGAAGCTGGGTGCTGCCGAACGCGAGAAGTTCACCAATTTTATCTTACCGAATAAGAATACCGGTTTGTCGTTCGATGAAGTGGCTGCAGTCCTGTCGCAGATTTTCGTAGGGCAGACATCTTTGTTCGCCATCCGGTACAAGTGTCTGACAATAACAAAAAATGAAAACGGAGACTCGGCCGACTATTCCAGCCGTGTGAATCGAGAGTGCGAACGGTCACAACTACACAAGATGACAAGGGATCAGTTTAAATGTCTCATGTACGTTTGTGGCCTACAAGCATCCAAAGACGCCGACATTCGAACACGAATACTGAATAGAATTGAGCAGAACCCGGATGTCACGTTGCAGCAAGTGACCGGTGAGTGTCAACGCATGACAAATCTGAAGCACGATACTGCAATGATTCAGCAGTTGTCCAATCAGAACGATCAAGATTTTGTCTGTGCAGTCACCCGTACTCCCCAAAATGAAACTCCCCACGTAAGTTCACCGCATTCTAAACCTCCCTCTGCATTTTGGTTTTTTAGAGAGTGGCATTTTGCCCGCGAGTTTCTTCTTTCAAAACACACTTGCAACCGTTGCGGCAGTAAGGGCATAAGGATTCATGTTGCCTGGCAACTCGTTCAATTTTGAGCAAGAAAATGCGCAAAAATGCCAGATCGTTCCGGCGTCGCAATTTGACCAGATCTATCACCGCAACTTTCAAGGCTGACGGGGCCAGCAAGCCCAAATACACAATTGTGAAAATCAACGGCTTCCAAATCAAGTTACAAATCGACACGGCTTCAGATATCACCCTGATATCTCGCGACACTTGGTGCATGCTGGGGCGACCGACACTCATGCAAACGAGCCACACGGCACGAAATGCTTCAGAAGATACGTTAAAATTGCATGGTGAACTAAATTATTCTATAAACTTCCGCGATAAACAAATCCAGACGATATGTTTCGTGACAGACCAGCCGGGATTAGATTTGTTGGGGCTCGACTGGATAGATTAACTGAAACTGCTTGATCAATCAGTGAACAGTATATGTCAGCCACCGCAAGTCAATCTGCTGTCGCAACCGTCGACTTCAAGCCCGATGTTTCAAAGCCAGAGTACAGAGATAAGACGACGTCACGATGCATTGTTCCAACTTGGTCTCGGGTGCTGCAACATAGCTACTGCCCCATTAAACCTTAAACCAGACGCCAAACCAGTCTTTAGACCAAGACACCCGGTGCCCTACGCAACCCAGTCCTTAGTGGAAGCCGAGTTAAACCGACTACAATCTGAAGGGATAATCGGACGAGTTCACTATTCAGAATGGGCAGCGCCTCTCGTGGTGATAAAGCAAGGAAACGGTAAAGTCCGTATTTGTGTTGAGTTCTCGACAGGTTTGAATTCTGTGTTGGAAGATCCTAAGTATCCCCTGCCGGTACCAGAAGACTTGTTCACCAAACTCACTGGGGGAAATGTTTCGCAAAACTTGACCTAACTGATGCGTATCTGCAAATCCAAATAGCCCCTCAGTGAAGAACATTACTGACAGGAAATACCCACCTCGGACTTTTTCAATACAATCGGCTGCCGTTCGGAGTGAAAACCGCACCGGACATTTTTCAACAAACAATGGATACCCTGCTGAGCGATATCCCAAATACCGCAGTATATCTGGACGACACATAGATTATGGACTCAGATCCGCAAAAATTGGTACAGACACTGGAGAGAGTGGTTTCGCGGCTCGAAGAAGCTGGGTTCCGATTACGGGCTGAAAAATATGTGTTCCTATTAGAAAGTGTCAAATTTCTTGGGTTTATCACCAACAAACATGGCCGGCACCCGGATCCCGCCAATATTGAAACCACCAAAAAGATGAAGCCCCCAGAAGACATTGCAGAGTTCCGCTTGTTCCTCTGGCTCGTTAAGCATCATAGCGCTTTCCTACCAAGCTTTCACCAAACCAGAGCTCCGCTAAACCAGCTACTGACAAAAGACAAGGGTTGGAAATGGACGGAGGAGTGCCAGCAGTCTTCTGATGCAGTCAAAGCAGCTCTCACTTCTGATCATTTCAATCCGAATTTCAAAATTGTCGTTGCTACGCATACTTCCAGGTATGGTGTCGACACAGTTATCACCCACCTTTTTCCGCATCGAGGAGAGAAGGCTATCGCGCTCGCTGTACGGTCACTAACGTCAGCTGAAAAGTACGATAGCCAGATAGAGAAGGAAGCGCTCGCGATCGTTTTCGCAATGAAACGGTTCCGTAATATTCTGTGTGGCAGACATTTCACGCTCCTGACTGACCACAAGCCAGTTCTGTCGATATTCGGATCAAAGAAAGGAATTCCAGTTTTTACGGCAAACCGATTGCAACGATGGGTGACCATACTACAGGCGTACGACGTCAGTATACAGTATAAACCTACGCAACTAATCGGTCAAGCGGATGCCCTGTTTCGTCTCATCAATTCACACCCAAAGGAGGAGGATGATTGTGAGATTGCAGCTATCAGTTTCGAATCAGAAGTCCAACGAATCCTTGCTGATAATATGAAAAGACTGCAAGTAACAGCCGATACCATTCGTTTGGAGACATCACGGGACAGAATCTTGGAGAAAGCGATGCAGTGCGTACGAACATGTTGGCCAAATGGAGGCAGACCTATGGAGTTGCGGCCGTTATACAATCGACGTGGATCTCTGTCAGTCGTGGACAATTGCCTGGTGTTTGGAGATCGGGTGATGGTGTCAAAGAAAATACGGAGACAAATATTGCAGCAGTTCCACACGGGGTACCCTGATATCAGCCGCATGAAAGCCTTGGCACAGTTTTGTTTGCTGGCTAGAAATGGATTAGGAAATTGAAAAATTCTGCCAACAGTGTGAATCTTATCAACTTGCAGCGAAGGCCCCTCCCAAGTGTCAGTGGCAATCTTGGCCTAAAGCAGAGAAACCGTGGCAACGAATACACTTAAACTATGCAAGACCAATCAATGGCCAATCCTATCTCGTTTTCGTCCACTCATTCACCAAGTGGTCTGATGTGATTCCGGTAAACAATCCGACTGCCCAGCACATTGTGAACAAGTTGCAGAATCTATTCCGATATTTTGGCCTGCCAGAGATGTTGGTGACAGACAATGGAACACAATTCACCTCAATTTCTTTCTTCGAGTGGTGCAAGGAAACGGGAATTCAGCAGATGTTCTCACCACCATATCATCCGCAATCAAACGGACAGGCGGAAAGGTTCGTGGATACGTTCAAACGTGCACTCTGTAAAGGAGAGCAAAGAAGGGCTTCACAGGATACAATTCAATATTTCCTATGCATGTATCGGAACGCTCCGAACCCAAACGCCCCTGATGGGAAACCCCCCACAGAAGTACTATTTGGAAGAAAGATCCGGATGTTGTTCGATACTCTTTTACCAAGGAGAATAGAAAAGCACGCAGTAGTCACCTGGTGGAAGATCACAAAGTCAGGGTCCGTAACTTCAATGTTGGTGACATGGTTTACGTCCGGGATTTTCGAAGGCGGAAGGGATGGTCGAGCGGAACTGTTATCGGCAGGAAAGACATTTATTTACGAGGTGATGGTTGGACGTGAGAGATAGGTTAGGCACATCAATCAGTTGAGACCGAACCATGGCAAAACGCAAGCTCCCCACGAACCAACAGCTTTGCATTGGGACATTCTAGTAGACAAGTTCGGGCTGAAAGTTGAGGGTCAGCAACCCGGTGAGACAAAACAAATGCCACAAACATCAGATGCACAATGCAGGCCGGCTCAGCAGCGACAAAGACCACAATAACTGCAAATCGATCCCCGGGCGAAAAGCTACGAACAAAGTCAGTTTCGTAGGGTTTACAAGCTGACTCAGTCTGGAAAGGGAGGTGACAGGTGAGCGAGGAAGCTGATTGCCAACGCGCGCGTGTTCGCCGCCAATCGTGCTTGGGACAGATCCTGCGAGGATGTTGCCAGGGTCCAGCCGAAAGCTGATGAAATCGCGCATCATACAGCAGGCGTGTTGCCAAGGTCTGACCGGAATCTGATGAAATCGCGCGTCAGTCATCACGTACGTTGCCATGCCCCGGGTAGGCGCATGAAGACTTGCATGCCCGAGCAAGTCGGTGAACTGACCAGACGGGGCGAACAATCAAGTGTGGGGCGTGGGCGTACAGCCAAATCCGCCAGGCGATGTTTAGAGGATTGGTGAAACCGACATATAAATATGAGCGTTCTCGGTTCTAATACAACTAGTCGGCTGAGTCTTCTGTCTTCCTTCCTGTCGGGTTTGCCAAAGCGTCAAGCAGAGCAGGCGTAAGCGTGCAGATTTACCAGCAGGCGTGAATCAACCGGTCGATTTCGGGTACAGCGTTATAACACTCTTTAACGTTGTGATCGAAATCACCACGAATGACTTATTCCAAACTCTTTCGAAGTGAATGTTCCGCCAGGTAACCGATCGACAAACCTTGACTATGCGGGCGACAGCTTTCCTTCAGTCTGACAGTGGCTATGCAAACTACTTCACTGACTTGTGCGAATCGCTGGACGCTTCGGTCTGTGCTTTGCACACTCAAAGTGCAAAGTGCTGTTGCAAGACTGGGCAACGAATCTCCGGTTTTTGGCTATTTCCGAACAGCCACTGGGAGTGGTGGACCGATTCGCTTACCTTACTAGTTGTGTCACTTCTGCTGGTCACATCACTGAAGAAGTTGCTTCGCGTATCAGCAAGGCCCGTGTGGCTTTCCGGCGACCAGAGGATCTACGGAGATTGCGAGATAACAGCTTGTCAGTGAAAGGTAGGGTGTATAACTGCGGTAATGTCAATCTTGAGGTATGGATCGGAGACCTTTCCGATTCGCGGCGAAGACATTAAACGCTTGGCCGTGTTTGACTATCGGTACTTGGGGAAAGTTGCTTCCGTTTGGTGGGATCACCGGGTTCTCAGTGCTGATATCCGCTAGTTGGTTTTTGGCCAGATGCCTTTTGGTATATCGCAGTTGCTTGCATTGATCGGGTCATGTTCTCTATATACCCGTTGATCGACTTCCTCGGCACACCTTGCACGTCGTGACTACACAGAGTTGGGTGAAACGACGAGTTGGCCCCTATCCCACGTGACATAGTAGCATGAAGAACGTGACCGACGGACTTGGTCAGGCTAGTAGGTGCCATCTTCATGGATGGTGGTGGCCTCGTGATGCTCCATACCAATATTTGGAAGTCGTGTCGGAAATGACGTAGTCACGAAGTCAGTGGTGTTTTTGCATTCGGCTTCCTTCATCTTGTTGTTAATTTTCGTTCCATTTTGATTAGCCTAGCACATTTTTCTCTTGCTGCCATTTTATCTGCATTCTATTTGCACCTATGTCCACTGTCCTATCATTGTTATTTGTTATTCTTACGGTGTGAGTCGTGACTAATGGATCCGCCGCACTTCGGTGCTCGGATCAACTGAATTGAAAGAGGCCCCCTCGAATTTGTGGACTTTTTCAAACGTTTACTATTTTGGTGCCGTCAAGATCTTAATCAAACGCTCCACAAATTCGCATGCGTCGACAATTCTACCTCGGAACGCGCGCACACTTACCTTCCACTTTCTTTCGTATGTCGTTTTTCTTGTGGAGTGCTTATCACAATATCCACTTATCTAACTATACAGCTTCATATTCTGCTTCACCTCATTGTCTGGAAAAAGTCTGGCCCTTCTTGATGCTATTTTGTTGTCCTCTAGTGTTTTGGCCGCTGCTGTTCGTGAAGCTCGTTCAATCAAAAGAAATGAGATAGAACAAGGACACAAAATAGTGAAAGAATATGTCGAAAAGGTAACATCATGTCTGTTTTGCGTCACTTCATTCGTCCTCCTGTGAGTTACTATTTTCTCATCGGATGACATGGAGTGCTCCATTTTAAGCAAATTTGTGTATTTTTGGGTTTTTATCTTTTTAATCATATTTTACTCATTTATGCGTTACAATTTCGTTGAGAAAATCCGCCACCTCGCCTGGCTACCTTTTTTCAATATTTTCGAACCTCCTATCATTACTTCTTACATTATGCCGCGGATTGTTCATCGTCATGTGGCCAGAAATTTAATACGACGCCACTATGTGCGTATCCGCGTAGTTCCTTGATTTTTGCCGGATGGCTGTTTTGAACCCAATCGTTTCAAAGCAATCAATACTTGGTGCTACGCTGAACCTAACGGTCGATAACCCCCTTCTCTCGTAGTGCCGATAAGAGGCAACAAGTTGCTAATTTTCAACTTGTTTCACACTGTCATACTGTTTTCTTCAAAAAAAATTTCATTTTTTTAGTGGCGTATCTGTCGTTCAGTTTTTCGCTTCCACACATCTCAGAATTGACACTTCAGGATCAGTGCGACCAGCCCATTCGGATTCACTTGTGGTTAAACTCTACCACAAGTCATTGTGTCTGATAGAAAACTACTTGATCTGTCTTAACTACTGTTAGATTCGGTATTGCTGTCTCTACAGATACGATCTAAAAGGTTGTCTTCCTTACAGCCTGGTCATCATCATCATCATTATACACGTTAGCTAGAGGTGGGAAAACACCTCCGCTATTGTGCCGCAATACATGAAGGAAATACATAAATACATACATATAGTACAATAAACAAAGGAACAATAGAAACAACAGTTGCATGCCAGCTGAGCTCCCAGCAACAGATAGGCATCGTTCCGGTAAGCTACTAGCCGGCTACTAGGCAAAAAGAAAAAAATTATTGTTTTACCCTACGAAATGAGATTGTAGATGGAAGGGGAGGCTAAAGGGATGGGGAGGAACAAAGAAACTCACAGCAGGAACGCCACTGAGGTCGGCTCCTTGCCATGTCAGCAAGTGTATCCAGCCAAACGTGTTCACCGTCTTTTGGACCACAACCAGGGAGCCATGAAGCTCCAACCGAGGCTAGCTCCGAAGTGAGGGACTTCATTCCTCTCGACCAAGTCATCACTTGGCCACCTCTCCTCTTCTTCCACCCACATCCCCGGTGAGCAAACGACGCACATCGAGGGAGTCGGTGGGCTGGCATGCGTAACACGTGGCCGAGCCATCGGAGCCTGGTGCGGGAAATAACGGTGCTGAGCGGTTCAGATCCTTTTCCTAGGCCGTAAACAATGCGGCGAACACGCTCGTTACTCACGCGGTGTTCCCACCAGATGTGTGCCAAACTGCGAAGGCACCGATGATCGAACGTAACTAGCCTCTTCATGTCCGCCGATCTTAGGGGCCAGGTTTCGCAACCGTACAGCAGGGTCGAACGTACCGCTGCATTGTACACTCTACCCTTCATGGCGAGAGTGATGTCGCGCCGGCGCCATAAGTGGCGAAAGTTAACAAAAGCACTTCGAGCTTTCGCTATACGGTTCGTGATCTCGTCTTCGATCCCAAGGGCGCTGATACAACTTCCCAGGTAATTGAGTTTCCGAACGACTTCTAGCTGATCCCTACCAATGGTCAGCGCAGGAGGCGATCCAGTCCAATCTTGGAGGAACGCTTTGCATTTCGATGGTGCAAAGCAAAGGCCGAAGCGACTGACAGCCAGTGCTAATCTGTCCAGCGCGGCTTGACACGTCTGGGAGCTGTCACAGATGAGGGCAATGTCGTCTGCATACTCCAAGTCAAGAAGTCGTTCTCCTGGGAGTAGATCCACGCCTTCCAAGTCATATCGTGTAAATGCAAACTCCATGACTTAGTCAATAGCGAAGTTGAAGAGGAAAGGTGATAGCGGGCATCCTTGTCTCACACCGCTGGAGATATTGAAGAGTGGCGACAGCTTGCCGTAAGCCCTCACACTGCCCGAGCTACACGTATATAATGCTTGGATAATATTTACATATTTCTCGGGCACACCTTTCCTGAGTAAACGATTCCAAAGGGCACATCGATCAACCGAATCGAAGACACCTTTGATGTCGAGGAACACGAATAAAGTGGGCCGCCAATATGTGTGACGGTGCTGCAACAACTGACGCAAGGTGAAGATGTGGTCGATGCAGCCACGACCACGACGAAACCCGGCTTGCTCCTTACGAATCTGGCTTTCACGAGCGCCAGTCAGTCTGTGAAGAATTATGGAGGCGAGTAATTTGGAGGCGATGGAGATCAGACTGATTCCTCTATGGTTGCCGCATTCCGAGCGCGAGCCGCCTTTGAAGTTGGGGACAATAACGGAGCGACTCCAGTCGGTTGGGACAGTCTCCTGCTCCCACAGTTTCACTTGCAATTCATGTAAAGCAACAACAAGTGCAGAGCCTCCGCATTTGAAGAGGGCTGGAGGGAGATCATCTGGTCCCGCGGCTTTGTTCAACTTCAACAGTCCGATCTCATGTTCGACTTCTGAGCAAGAGGGTGGATCCAAAGGGACAGTCCACGGAGCAGTGCGCTCAGTGACCGGCGAAGAATCAAACAATTCTAGCCGATTAAATTGCTTTTCAAAATGCTCAGCCCAACGCTCCAAACGTTTTGACAAATTGTGGATAGGCTGTCCACTCTCGTCACAAATTGTTTCACTAACACCACGTCTCCTGCTGCCCGTTTCCCGTATCAGACGGAATAACTTACGATGATTGCCAAGAGCATCGGCCACTTCCATCTCTGACGCACGATGAGACCACCAAGATTCGCGGTCTCTCTTCAGGCTAGCACGGAGTTTTGCCCGGAGCTCTTTGCGAGTTTCATTGTGCTCGCTTCCAGCCGGGATATGCCGGCGAGCGTCGATAAGTTCTAGAGACTGCGAAGAGAACCAATGTCCATATTGGCGATTAGACTTACCACATGAGGATTTTCCTGCTGCTAGTAAGGTCTGGCGAACATGTGACCAGTGACCATCAATTGTCTCCAGTGAGCGATTACTCAACTCGCATGTCAGCGTACTTCGATACGCATTCAGAACAGCTGGCTTTGTCGGTTGGCTGGTGTCAATGCGCTCAAAACGTAGTCATAGGCGTCCGCCAAAGCGCATCCGCATGTCAGCACATACAAGTGCATGATCGGTGTCCACACATGTGCTCCAAATCGAGCGACAGTTCTGGATGCAGCCTCTCCAGCGGTAACTAATAGCAATGTGATCGATCTGCGTCCAAGGCTGGTTCGAGGCTGGTTTGCGCCAAGTCACCCTCCGGCGGGTGCTGTGTCGGCATTTAGTGCTCTCAAGAAATAAGCGAGCATGTTCACACAAATGAAGTAACCGCTCACCGTTGTCATTACGGGAGCCTACACCGTGCTGGCCTTCCAGATGCATTTCATCAGTGGTCAACTTTCCAACTTGTGCGTTCAAATCCCCCGCCAGCACAACAGTGTCCGTGCTTCTTCTGTGGCGAAGGAGCTGGGTCAGTTGGCGGTAGAAATCGTTCTTTACCGAATCATCGCTACCGTTTGTGGGCGCATAGGCAGCGATGATGAATAGACACCTATTAGTCCCTCGCGACTTTGAAGCTTTAAACGAGCCAGCCAATCGGACCGCACACATCCGGCTACTGATTGGAATCCAATCAACCAGAGCAGCTTCAGCTCGGGGACTCAGGGCAATGGCAACACCGGCTTGACCGGCGCTCGAAGCTGCATCGTCACCGGATAGGCGCAATGAAAAAGTCTTGCATGTGTCACCTGAAGGGGATCGCAGGTTAAGCACAGAGCTCGAGCCTTGCAGGCGGGTCTCAAATAAGCAGCAGATATCGATCGAGAGGGTCTCCAATGTTCAGGCAAGTGCTGCCTGTTGACCGATTTGTAGCAGTGTGCGTACATTGAGGCATGCCAATCTGAAGGAGGATCGAGGGCTCCAAATGGAAGCCGATGAACTGGAATGGACCGCTCGGTTGGACATGGGCTTGTTGACAGGTGAGGATTGACACTCCGCGTTCACATGTGAGTTGAAATTAGAAGGTAAATGCCTAGCAAAGCATGTTGGGGGAGGGCCAAGAATCGGGGGGTTGAAAGCTGGGGGGATATAAGTGAAGTTGGAAGGGGACGGTAAGAGTGAAAAAGCGTAAGATGGGGAATAAGAAGACGGGAAGGCTTGTACAGTAGCATCCAAACCCCTATCCACCCTGCTCGATGCAGCAGATAGGGCACCGTTGATTATCCTCTGCGGTGGCCAGAGCATCAGCAATTTGTTTGAGGTAAGATTCATGGTATTGCGTGGGCAGGATACTGTCAGGTTGCCCAGGCCTAGACAGGAGAACGATTAGGGTTCTCAACCAAAGCCTTTGGTTCAAAAACCTGACGGCAAGGCAGCGGGTTTGGCGTTGGGCTACAAGGAGTCCGTTTTAAGGAATAAGGTGCCACCCTCATTCCAACCCCCAACCTGGAGGACCAAGAGGCTGAGTTTGTTTGGCCTCTAACCATTGACCAATCTAGTATGAGTGACTCTGAAGGTGCAAAAGCACCACCCAGCATAGCTCAATGGATCTCTGAGGCACACAAACCATCGCACCACGGTAAGGTCCAGCCTGGTCAGTTTCTAATTTCCTGTGGATCAGAATCAAAGTCTTATTCCGGAAGTTGAAGCCCCACAACAAACCAGCACCATTTTCAACCTTGACGTTTGTCATACTACCAGTGACGACTTGATATGTTTTCCCTTTATGCTAAACCACTTTTGGCAGCGCAGTTCACGAACGTTACCCGTGATACCGCTTTACGACTGCCACAAATCATTTGAAAGCCACCTAGGATCCGAATTGTCACCAGCTTCTGCTCTCACAGTCACTAGCGTTGACTCGACAGTTTTCTAATAGGCATGCACATGTTGCTAACTTTCCTTGATTCCACAACGCATCATGTTTTTAGATTGTTGGCG